CTTCCAAATCAAGCCATGCTGTGATTGAAATGGAGTACTTGGGAATAGAGCACAGTGAAAACAAAGCTTCTCATGGAACAAGACCTCCATGAGTACTATCCATTATATCTGTCTTTACATTTTAGTTGATTAATATCAAATCTCTTTGACTTCCTAAACTTTCTTTTTCCATTTCCTCTCGCTATCTGGCCAAACTTAGTCTATAGAAACTTGTCTTACCCTTCTGCTCTACTTTTTTCATTGTCATTCTCGAACTTGAGAGCCACATGTTAATCAGCCAGAGAAGGCTGGTTGTCTAGAGTTCAGGCAAAAAATACTAAAAAGAGTTATTGGTACATACTCGATTTCTGGGGCCACAAAGAACTTTTCTGTCCTTCTTCAGTTTCAAGCTGATATCCCTAGATTCACCAAATCTCTTAGGAAAACTGTCATGCCTGATGAAGAACCTTCCAGTGGCACACAGTGGGAGCATGCCAGGCTCTTGTACTGCTTTCCTTTGCAGTTTCAGGCAGGTGGGGCTGGGCAGGGGGTAGGGTAGAGCACTGGCAAGGAGAGAAATGGCAGTCAGTGGTTCTGCTAGCCTCCTCCACACAGAATTTAACATTGCAGGGTGTTGGAGATCCAGGCACAGAAAATGTCCCTTTATCTATGCTGCCAGGCTCAGGCACCTGAGAGAACACTGTGCTTAATTTAAGACCATGGAGAAGGCTTCTAAAACTAAGCTGAGAAACTGGAAATGTGAATGTGTGAGTTAGATAGAATTATGTTAAGTTACTGGGTGAAAAATATAGAGTTTAGAGATATAGTAGTGAATAAGAGACAAGATGGAGGTTCTTGGGCATTGGTTTGTCTTTGCCTTTCTTCCTTCTTCTTCATGGATTTTGGTAATTTTTTGTGATTTTTGGGGGTGAAAAAGTTTGCAGTGCAGAACACAGGTGTTTGGTTTTTGGGTTAAATGTAAAAATAAGTTAGTTGGCATTTGATAATTGGATAGTTTTTGCTTAAAAGGCCTTGTGGACAGAGCCCAAGGTCACCATTTGTAGCTTGCTAGGTTAGTGTTTAGAAGTACTTACTATATGTAAAAATGTAATATAGATAAGGTAAAATAAACATTCTAAGTCTGAATGTGAAAACTGTCTCTCTGCTTGTTAATCCTGATCCTGGGGAAAAGAAGTGAACACTTTTACATTTGGTGCCCTAGAGACTTCTACAGCAGGGCAGGTCTTTGCCTCATGAAGGAGGGCCAGATGGAGGAAGAAAGAGGAGATGATGCCCCGTGGAAATAGATGGTGAGTGATGGAGCCACTGTGCCCCCAACCCCTGTGCTTGCTCTTAACTATTGGTTTCATTTTGGTCTCTTTTGACTAAACATGATAAAGAAAAGTTGTGCTTTAAGTGAGAACAGTAGGGAAGGCATTTTACCTTCCTTTCTCCATTTCCCTCCACTCCAGACCCAGCCCAGCTGCCCAGAACTTGTGCAGCTCTTTTCTTCACAGGTTTTACTCCAGCAGTCAGTTTTGACCATGCCTTTGGTGGTCCCTCCTGAATCCTACTGGCAGTGCACAAGAGCCTGTCAGTACTGCTGGCAGAGCACCTGGTTCACCTTTGTGAACTGGACTGCTTGAGTGAGAGGCCACACTGTACTTGTTTTTTATGTAACCAAGAAAACCAGGACAGTTCTTGAATTTTCACAAACTAAGGGACCCCAACAAACATGGGTAACATTATTTAGCAAGATGGGTTCCCTCAACACTTTGTGTGGTCTGAGGGAATGCTTCTCTTGCATGGTGAGGTCCATAAATTTGAGTCACTTTCTGCTTCTGTGCTGAAATGTGAGCAGCTGAAATGCTGCTAATTGTGCCTCAAGTTCACCCTGAATGGTTGCAGGTCTGCACACATTGCACAAGTTTGGCACACCTGTGCTATTAGCAGCAGGCATTAGTATTTCCTAATGGAATTCTTTTGTGGTTACAAAGTAGGCTTTGTACATCTGGAAAGAAAACCCAAACAACTTTGCATTGATTAATTGTATTAACATCTTGCTTAGTCAGGACATGGTATATATTGATACAAACATAGAATCCAGGCTCTTCCCTTGGATGGAAATTTACTATCACATCACCTGCACTTAATATTAACTACTGTAAGGTAGCTTATTTAGCACTCATAGTGCATATTTAGCACTTTATTTCATAAAGCCACAAATGATTTCTCCCATTTAATTTGAGGTTATTTTAAGAGTTCAACACCTCAAGGCATGTCTTTTCCTCTTAACCTATAGCAAGCAAATAACTATTTCATTATGCAGAAGGCTCTGATCCTGGCTGACAGGTGAACAAAGCAGGATGTTAGAATTCTTGGGAAATACAGCATAGACATAAACTGTAAAAACAAGGTTAATTTTAACCTTGCTTAATTGCTGGACTTGAGAGGGGAGCTCAAATACTGCAAAATGTTCCAATGCATCCTACTATTTTGACATGGCAATATGTACAGTTAAAGCACAATTCTGAGAGTTGAAAAAAAAAGATAGAAGGGATTCTAAGCTAAAACCATATAACCATAAACAATAAGACATAAATAAAAATAGCATACTATATAAAGAATAAATATAAATGAAGTTATGAAGTGATCCTTTTCCTGTTCTGTTGTTAATACGGACATGTTCAAAGCTGGAAGGCTGACTGGAGATGGATAGATGGGTATTTCCTACAGGTCAGGATTTTAGGATAGGTTTTTGTCCATCAACTCATGATCCGTTTGCAAGCTGTCTGTCTCCATACAACATCCTTGGTGCTTGGGTTACAGAGCATCAAAGAAATGCAGGCTGAAAATTGGCAAAACAGAGTGTAATATTGATGTGGTAAAAAAACCAGTAATATCTACTGCCTTACCAGAATGGGAAATTTCTGCTATTCCTAGAAAAAAACAAACATCACAATGTATTGAATATTAAGATGCAAAAAGCAGCTGTCAAGTGAACATAAATCTGGTTTTTTTCTATAAAGAAACACATTTTGAGAAGAGGGAACCCATCTCCCACACTGTACAGACCAGACTAACATTAGTGGAATACCTTCAGTAGGGTAAGTCCAGATAACTCCTTTGGGAAGTCTCAATCTTATTTAGTTGTTATTCCTATGCTGTAGCATTGAACATTTGATTTGGATGCTATTACTGTATGTGAATTACCAGTTTTCTCCCTTCATGTCTTCAAGATGAAATTCATGTAGGAGCTTCCAGAACAGAATTTTTGTCTTTTCAAACTGAAATTCAAACCAGCCATCTCTGGAATAAGATCCATTGTCCAGCCTACTTCATACTTCTTGCAGTGCTGCCTCCTTCACTGAGGAAATCCCTGTAAATCCCTGGCTGAAATGTGATCATGGAAGATGACCAGGATTTTAAAATCAAAATTGAAAAATTTATTTTGAATTATATTATGGGGAATGGGGGTAAAGGGATAGAGTTTGTGGAGGAGAAATCCCCATCACACCCTACAGAATACCTTGATTTTTTTTCTGGCCTTGCCTGGCTGGGTCATGTTTAAGCCTGTAGCTAGGTGTGATTTTGAACAACAGATGGCTTTCCTGACCTCCATCAACAGCTGCCAATTCACATCCACAAGCAAAGGAAACTACCACAAGTTTATGTTCACCAGTCCAGATCTTACTTGTATGTTTGCTGTCACCCTGAAATAAATGGGTGCATAATGGTGAGTCAAAGAAGTGTAAGCATAGGTAGGGTTAAGTACAAATCTGGTTCAGCTCAGGTAGGGTGTGCCTGAAACCCAACCAGCCATTTGAAATTCTGCTCATTTTTATTGTGGGTCTGCCATTTGAGTATTGTAGTCAAGTATGGAGCATGTCTGGATGAGGACAGTTGGGTGGTAAAGGCATTCAGGAGGTTCAGTGTAAAAGAACACATTCTAAGAGAACCTTTACTTTGACCTGTGCATGTATGTGTCAGTTCTATTGTGCAAGACCTTGCTGACTGGCCAGAACAAAAGCACTTGCAGAGCCTTCCATGCCAGCCGGTGCAGTGGCCATTTTAACAGGATACAATTCTAAGGCAGATTTTATCTATGTGTTGTGTAAATCTTCAAGGAATTCCACAATTCCTACTCCTACTGAAGCCAGTAGAGCCTGAAAAAGAATCATCCTGAAGAAACTCCAGAATTTTAGTTACCTTCTCTTTGAACACAGTCTATTTTACAGTAAAAAATTACAAAGAAAAAGTAAGAATTCAAGCACAGCCTTGCCTAGTTGGTTTTGAAAGCTTTTAAAGTTAATTTTTAAAATTTCTTTTTAAATTTTGAGTTTAAAGTTAAGTTTAATTTTTAAATGTTATTGGATCTCCTGAATCCTTGAGACATGCTGCACTGAACACAGAGCAAAGTTGCATGCAAAACTGCTTTTCTGCTGGGAGAAATCTGTTGCAGTTTTTAATAAAAAGTTTTCTGAAACCTCTGTCACCCAGGGCAATTTCACTTTAAAGGAAAAAGACCAAGTGATTTTCTAAACACATTTCCTCTGGGAAGATTGTAAAGGAGGAATTTACACCTGAACTTGTGAGATCCGTTTAAACAATTACATTTTACTAGGTGTTCCCTCAGGGAATCACTGCTTTAAAGGTCTTACACCCTCAGCAGGTAAACCCTTCTTGATAATGTTTCCTATGACAAAGAGCTCATATGACTTTTCCTTGCTTAAGCCACTTCACAGAGTTATAACTTGCTCACATCTGTCGTGGAAACATCAGGTTTGCAGAGGAAATTCTCAGGTGAATCCCTGACTGCTGAAAATGCCAACTGCTATTCAGTTAAGACACCCAAGTTCGACTTTTTGAAGAAAAGCAGCGCAGACCTTTAAGCTATCACCTCTGGTCCTGTGCAGAGCTGCAAAGGCTCAAGCAGACGTGGTTCCAGGCAGGCACACTTCAGGTCTTTTTTTCTTTAAGAGATCAAAGTATAGAAAAAGATAAAATACAGCTCTACTTACTCTCAGACGTCTGACTAACCATGAGTGGTAGAACAACCAAAACAATGACAAATTTCACATCCATTCCTCCTTGGAGCTGCGGGAGCGCAGCCACAGAGCAGGTGGCGAGCTGCAGGACTAACACCTGATCCTACCTGCTGGCTGCCGGGGATGAACGTGCCTTAAAGCCACACCCTGAGCAGCAGCTTGGCGTCAGTTCTGTCCTGTGTGGCACTATGGACTTCAGCAGGATCCCTCCTCTCACCTGAAGACGTGTGTTTTGCCAGATGGGAAGACAGGCTGTATTCCACGCAGATCCCCAAGATGGTACTGCCTTACAGCCAGATCCTTGCAGCCCTCCTCACTGATGAGGCTCTTCAGAAACAGACTTGCCAAGCGTAGGAATAGCTTAGAAACAAGTACTTGCAGGACTGAGGATTAAGAAAAAACCCTCTGCTATTAAGTATTATCTGCATGGAAGCTACACATGCAATGCTGTGGGCCGAACTTGCTGTGCTGCAAACAGGTACAACCTTAAGGAGACCCCACCATTGCCCTCAGTTTATGTTTGACCTAGGCATTTTCAGTCTGTAAGGACCATGTTATTCCTGTCACAGTTGGCTTTCAGGAGGTTTCACAGCTTCCAAACCCCTAAAAGATTACTGTGTCGTTTCAGTCTGAACTGAGCACTGTGGCTGTAAGAGTAGCAGGCAGCTGCTGTACTCCACCACAGCCAGGGCAGTGCAGGCTGCCTGCTTTGACCAGGGCTGAGCTAGAAAAAGCAGTCTGGAAATTTCCTACACCAAGCTCATCTTTGCTCTGGCTCATTACACCATTCTTAGAATTCTTAATTTTCCAGACACTGGAAAGTGGAAGAAATTGCTAGCTTCAGGGACTTTAGTCTATACTTACACTGTCCCAACACTGGTTTTGCAATTTCATCTAATAATAAATTAATAAAGTGCAATCAACCTTTCTGGCTATCAGTGTTTTACTTCATAGCTGTTTGTTTCTGCTATTCACTGTTATCTACCAGGATTAGAGACCAGGGCAAATCCAGACTACCACACTTTGAAATAAAAGTCTACTGTTAAAATGAAAAAGAATAGAACATAATCTTGTGTGGTGTTTAAAGTATGATTTTGGGGAAGTAATTTATGTTGAGATCAGCAAGTTGACCCATTGTCACCATTCAGTTTTTAAAAGCTAAACCACCCTGGCCAAAGCTAAGACAGGTCACAACATCACAGCCTGAACCTAAGGACAAGAATATTAGCAACACTATTGTTCTTCAAAGTAGCATTAGGAGGAACAAACTAGATTAAAAGAAATACAGTGAGACAGATGCTACTGGAGTAACATGTTAAAGAAAGAGCTTCAGTCAGTATTAGATTTTGTATTCCAGTATCTGGTTGATGCTGCTAATCAGGATGCTTTGTTTTCTTGCAGATAATTAATTAGTTTGTTCTGGCAAATGCTTCACATGGGATGGTACAGTTTTAAAGACCTGATCCAGATTACAAGGGTCTTTCCACAGTGAGCATATGGACTACAGGGAGCTGTAGCAGTGATGGGGATGGAGGAAGAACCAAAACATTTTGTGTTTCTTAAGACTTGTTCCTGTATGACAAGTTCTAAGAAGTCCCCAGAGGTAACTCAGACACACACACCTCCTATGTTCTAAAACCAGGGAGTGAATGCTGGTATCTGAGTATTATTTTCTCTGCTGCTGGTAACAAACAACAGCACACTGAATAAAACTTCTTTCAGCTTGAGCTCAAGTTTTATATCTTATATTCCTCTATCTTATGTTCATATTGTCATTTATAGGTACAGAATAAAGTAAATGGCCATTTACTTCAACATGAAAGTGCAGCAAGGAAGCTGGGATTGTGTCAGACCCGGAACATGCTTCCCACTTTATGGAGGCTATATAATGTGTCAACAATTTAAAATGCTAAACCTATTGGAAAAGGACAAAATGTAAACTGAGGAAATAAGCTAATTTATGAGTCTGAGAAATTAAAAATAAAAACAAAGTCAGAGAACAATAGCAAATATTGTGCTATGGCTCCACCTGAATGAGCAGGCAGCCATCCAATTTTCAAAAGAAGGAGTTAGCCAGAAAATCTTTTCCAAGAAATTGGCTGACAAGAGTTGATAGTGGCATTAGTTACAAGTATAGCTGAAGGAAGGCAAAGAGTTTTATTGACATATTGACTTGGAGTGCATTCAAAACTCAAATCAAAGCACTAACCTGCAGGCAGTAATTGTTGCAAACGAGAAGCTAGTCATTCTTTTATCCTGAGAAACAAAGTAAACGGTTTTTAAAATCCTTTTTGAAGTTCTACCTTTTACTTGTGAAAGCAGAACAACTAGCAAGGCTAGAACTGACAGACCTTTTAATCTGAGCCTTCAGTTTTTAACCAGAGGTTAATGATTGCAACTTCTTCTACTGCATTGTGCACTGTAACATAATGCCCTCAGTTATATTTACTGTTCTTCAGTTTCTCAAGCTGAGGCAAGAGCAAATGCTCCTTCCTTCACCCCTTCCTTGCAGTCAAATAATGATCTTTTGCCACAGGAGTGGCATGCTGAGGAAGATTAAGCCCAGTTTGCTAACACAGGGTAATTCATGTTAAAATATTGTTACTGTTTCCAGCAAAACTTAATTTGATGAAGGCTTCTAGCACATTGATAGATGCAATAGGCTTATCACAGTACTTATTACTCTGTTAATGATGATAATAATCAACTCACAGTAATAATTTTTTTTTTCCCTAGTTTGGCTTGAAATCATGAATGGACATATTTCACAATGATTTACAAATACACTTTGGACTTCCTAGCAATGTCTCAATTGTTTATGTGGGTATCAAAACCCGAAACTGTGGCCTCCTCAAATGTCCTCTATTCTAGACTGCATTGCCTGGCCATGTGCCTGCAATAAACCTCTGACTTTAAAATGGTTTGCACAATTCTCATTCAGCCTTCTCCATACCAGAAATTTTGTCTGTGGCTACTTTATTTTGGGAAAAAAATAGAAGAGTCCCCAAGAAAACTTTGAGCTGTGAAAATTATTAGTGCTTAATATGCAAGTTCCAATATACAAGCCAGATTCAGTCCTCTGCCCAAGAGGGAGGGTATGGATACACCCACATATCAGATCAGCTCCCCAGCAGCCAGCTAGGGCCTCAGTGGGATGGATCCATCTTACACGCAGCACTACATCTTACGGGTACATAAAACAGGGAAGGAACTTGAGGAGGGACTGGAGCACCCATTCTTCTTGCACCAGATGAATGTCCCCACAGATGATGTTCACGTGCTCCCGCTGTGCTCAGCCTCCCCAGGATTGGGCATTGGTTTGTCGTGCACCGCTTTCACAAAGGTGCACCGCTTTCAGGAGTTACTGAAAGGCTTGTCTGTTTCTGTGCTGTTGCCTGGCTCTCAGGGCATAGATTTCCCATTCCCTGACTACTAAATTTTGACAGAATAGGTTGAAAGCTGAGTTCTTTGGGATAAGATGAAGGTTTCTGTCCTGAAATGACATTTTGGGCTTCACAGACCAAGAAGCCAAAGGTCTGGCTGCAGCGCTAAAATTTCAGAGAAATACCTAGAATTTCCCATTGTCCATTTCAGTAAACTGTTTATTATGGGTATTTTGAATTTCATCTGGAGCAGCTGACACACAAAGTCATGGACAGACAGACAGACAATACATATACACATCCAGGCATTTTACCAGGAGGTGGCTGTACGCATTTAAGCTCTTCCTGTGGCAGCAATAATCATCACCAATGGAAACAGCCACAGAGGAAGCCCCTACCACTGGAGGAGCAGAGAATTCCATGGCACAGGTGCTAATAGAGAAGAGAGGATGACTGGCATTCAAAAGAGGAGTGAAAATCTCTCTGAAGTGAGAACTGTGAGAAAACTGATGCTGATACAAGATCTGTGATTCTGTCCCTCTCTGCAGGAATGAAACTAAAGAGAAAATGGCCATGAAAACATTGCAGACAAGAGAGGCAGACACCCAGAAAACAATTACTGAAGAAACAAGGGGTACCATGTGATAGAATGGTCTATTAGCATCATGTTGCAGATGGTGAACCATTCTGGGAAGTCAGTGCTGAGCAGAGCTCCAGGATTCACCTCAAAAACTTACTTCAAGACTGCCAAAGAATACATTATTACTGGCAAATTAAAAATCTTGGCTCCTAATAGCATGTTCCCATCATTTGAGATAGCCAAATTATAACCCTATCTAAGGCTGACACACTATCAGGCAGCATTGGAGGAAGGACCTAATTTATTGAGGCAGTAAGCAAAAGGACACACTGAAGACCCTTCCCTTCTCATTCTCTACTAAAACAAACCAAACCAAACCAAACCAAACAAACGAAAAACCTCATAATTTAGAGGACCACAAGGTAGGTGCTGAAGAGAAAGAATGGCAGATGTTTTCCACAGCTGATTGACTTAGGAGAAAACCTGATGCTGAAATGCACAAGCAGGAAATAAATACATTGAGAATTGTGGTTTTGAATAGAACAAAGACCAGTAATTCTGCATGCTTCCTTATTGTTTTAAATGTATCTTCTTGACTGCATAGCTGAGTTGTTCTTCAAACCAAATAAAAAATATGACATTTACGTCAGTCCACACAGCCTCTTTCCAATTCTACCTGCCAAGAGACTTTGCCTTTTGTCATGACAAAGCTGAGTTCCAAAGACCAGGTACTTCTAAATTTTGGGTGTTTTTTTTTTTGTCCTAGGCCTTAACTGACTTTTTGAATGAGGAACTGAGTCTGTGCTTTTGATTCCAAAAGGCAAAAACCAAAACTGGGGATGGACAGAAGGTCCACGTGTTTCACAAACATGTGAGAGCTCATGCCCTACAGAGGCAGTACCTGACCAGGTCAGTGGTCTGGATCAGCAGGATGTTCTGTTTCTAACCTGCTTCTCCTGAGTCCTAGGAAACTTGAAGTTGTCTTTCTGTTCAAGATGTACCCTGAACATCTATTCTGATCTCCCTATCTTTTAAAACCCAACATTGTATGCAGAGGATGATAACAAAAAGTGACA